GTCACTGAAGGTGCTAACATGCTTCCGCAGGCCCCATCTCCGATCACTCGACTCCACCAGTCTGGGAGCCTCTGGGGAGGAGGGGAATAGAATATTTTTTTATCTTCCTGCCCTAAAGACACGCTCACTATTGGCAGAGGACTTGAGAGAGGTGAAGGGACTGAGCTGGGCCGCCTGGCTGTAGGCAGAGGTGAGAGTGTGAGCTCTGGGTTCACGTGGTCACTGTGTACTTGGCTAGTTGGCCCGTCTGCAAGGTGGGGATGAGAATGGTACCTTCATAAAGGTGATTGGCAGGATTGATGTGCTTGACTCCTTGCAAATGCTCCATAAATCCTTTCTGGGACTTTCCGCTCCCCTGTGGCCTTCCCCTTGGTCTCCTTCCCCTGGGTTAACACCTAGTACCTGTGGGTTGTCTGTCCCCTCCCCAGCCCACGTGCCCTCCCTCTCCATCTCCTGATCCCGCTTTCCTGCTGGTCCAGAATGTGCCTTTGAATTTCTTTACTTCTGATGCTCCTCGGGAAAAGCCAAAAGATCACACGTTGCTGGTGAATGGCAGAGTTGGGTCTTGAATCCCGGTCTGACTGACGCCGAGGTTTATGAACTTGGATACCACACTGCACTCCTTGGGCCTGATGCTCGCTGGCTGTGAGAAAGCGAGGGCCTTGGTTGAGGCCCCACAGCTGTGAGTGGCAGAGCCAAGATCCAAACCCAGATCTGCCTGGCTCCAAACCTGGTGATTCTCCCTTACTCTGCCCTCCCCAACCCCCATATGGAATCTTTAGTTGCCCTTTAGAATAATTACCATGCTTCTCCCATATGGCCATTAAGTAATGAAGCATTTCACTATAGCGTTTCATTATCAGCTCTCTCACAGGAATTCTGTGAGGTCATCCAGTGGAAGTTGCACCCAATTTATGGATGAAGAAACTGAGGCTCAGCGAGGGAAAGCAACTTGTCCAAGGCCACACAGAATTGGTATATCCAAAACTCCTCATGTTTCCAGAGTCCTAACCCAGTGCAAACTCCACGTCTTAGCCATCTTCAGGTGTTTTGTTGCTCCCAAAACAATGCCCTGCCCTCAGTCCTTTCAATAAATGTTTCCTGAGGGGTTGGCCTCCCCTGTGTCAGATGCTAGCTTTGTGCAGAGCGTGAGTCTGGTTGTTCCCAGGGCATCAGAGATGGCCTTGCTGCTGAGGGAAGTAAAAGAGAAGTGACCATGTTCTGATGGATCTTCATGACCCTCCAGGAGGTGACCCCAGGAACTGTAATCATCAGGGCCAGGATGGTGGGGGTGCTAATGATGTCCTTCACTGAGACCATAATAGCTACTTAATTTGTTTATTTATTTATTTTTTTATTAATGTTATGATAGATTACAGCCTTGTGAGATTTCAGTTGTACATTTTTGTTAGTCATGTTGTGGGTACACCACTTCCCCCTTTGTGCCCTCCCCCCACCCCCCCTTTTCCCTGGTAACCACCGATCTGATCTCCTTATCAATATACTAACTTCCACCTATGAGTGGAGTCATATAGAGTTCATCTTTCTCTGACTGGCTTATTTCGCTTAACATAATACCCTCGAGGTCCATCCACGTTGTTGTGAATGGGCCAATTTTGTCTTTTTTTATGGCTGAGTAGTATTCCATTGTGTATATATACCACATCTTCTTTATCCAATCATCAGTTTCTGGGCATGTAGGCTGGTTCCACGTCTTGGCTATTGTAAATAATGCTGCGATGAACATAGGGGTGCAACGGACTCTTGAGATTTCTGATATCAGGTTCTTAGGATAGATACCCAGTAATGGGATGGCTGGGTCATAGGGTATTTCTATTTTTAACTTTTTGAGAAATCTCCATACTGTTTTCCATAGTGGCTGTACCAGTTTGCATTCCCACCAACAGTGTATGAGGGTTCCTTTTTCTCCACAACCTCTCCAACATTTGTCACTCTTGGTTTTGGATGTTTTTGCCATTCTAACAGGTGTAAGGTGATATCTTAGTGTAGTTTTGATTTGCATTTCCCTGATGATTAGCGATGATGAACATCTTTTCATGTGTCTATTGGCCATATTTATATCTTCTTTTGAGAAATGTCTGTTCATGTCCTCTGCCCATTTTTTGATCGGGTTGTTTGTTTTTTTGTTGTTAAGCAGTGTGAGTTCTTTGTATATTATGGAGATTACCCCTTTGTCGGATAAGAGGCTTGTAAATATTTTTTCCCAATTAGTGAGCTGTTTTTTTGTTTCAATCCTGTTTTCCCTTGCCTTGAAGAAGCTCTTTAGTCTGATGAAGTCCCATTTGTTTATTCTTTCTATTGTTTCCCTCAACTGAGGAGTTATAGTGTCCGAAAAGATTCTTTTGAAACTGATGTCAAAGAGTGTACTGCCTATATTCTCTTCCAAAAGACTTATTGTCTCAGGCCTAATCTTTAGGTCTTTGATCCATTTTGAGTTTATTTTGGTGTGTAATTTGTTTATTTTTTAAGAATTTATTTTTGGGGCCGGCCTGGTGGTGCAGTGGTTAAGTGTGCATGTTCCGCTTCGGCGGCCCAGGGTTCGCCAGTTCAGATCCCAGGTGCCGACATGGCACCTCTCGGCAAGCCATGCTGTGGCAGGTGTCCCACATATAAAGTAGAGGAAGATGGGCACAGATGTTAGCTCAGGGCCAGTCTTCCTCAGCAAAAAAAGAGGAGGATTGGCAGTGGATGTTAGCTGATGTTAGAATTTATTTTTATTTCATTTTGTTTTGTTTTCAGGAAGATTAGCCCTGAGCTAACATCTGCTGCCAATCCTCCTCTTTTTGCTGAGGAAGACTGACCCTGAGCTAACATCCGTGCCCATCTTCCTCTACTTTATATGTGGGACACCTGCCACAGCATGGCTTGCCGAGAGGTGCCATGTCCGCACCCGGGATCCAAACCAGCGAACCCCGGGCCGCCGAAGTGGAACATGCGCATTTAACCACTGTGTCACTAGGCCTGCCCCTGAATTTATTTTTTTAGAGCAGTTTTAGGTTCACAGCAAAGTGGAGGGGAAGGTACCAAGATTTCCCATATACCCACTGTCCCCACACATGTATAACCTCTCACATTATCAACATCTCCAACCAGAATGGTACATTTGTTACAACTGATGAACCTACACTGACAATCATTATCACCCAAAGTCCACTCTTGGTGTCCATTCTATAGGTTTGGACAATGTATAATGACATATGTCCACCATTATAGTATCCTACAGAGTACTTTCACTGCCCTAAAAATCCTCTGTGCTCTGTTTACTCCTTCCTCCCCTAGCCCCTGGCAGCTACTTAGCTTTTTACTCTCCACAGTTTTGCCTTTTCTAGAGTGTCACATGGTTGGAATCATACAATATGCAGTCTTTTCAGATTGCCTTCTTCCACTTAGTAATATGCATTTAAGTTTCCTCCATGTCTCTTCGTGGCTTGATAGCTCATCTCTTTTTGTGCTGAATAATACTCCATGGTCTGGATGGAGCACAGTGCATGTGTCCATTCACCTATGAAGGACATCTTGGTTGCTTCCAAGTTTTGGCAGTTATGAACGAAGCTGCTGTATAAACGTCCATCTGCAGGTTTTGTGTGGACATGAGTTTTCAGCTCCTTTGGGTAAATACCAAGGAGTGCGGTTGCTGGATAGGATGGTAAGGGTATGTTTAGTTTTGTAAGAAACTGCTAAACTGTCTTCCAAAGTGGCTGTGCCATTTCGCATTCCCACTTAGTCATTCTAATAGATGTGCAGTGCAGCTACTTCATTTCCACAGTGAGCATAATTCCTGCTTAATACATACAGTTTGGAAAATATGAAAAGGCATTAAGAAGAAAATAGGGCCGGCCCCGTGGCCGAGTGGTTAAGTTCGCGTGCTCCACTTCGTGGCCCAGGGTTTCGCTGGTTCGGATCCTGGGCGTGGATGTGGTACCGTTCATCAGGCCATGTTGAGGCAGCGTCCCACATAGCACAACCAGAGGCACTCACAACTAGAATATGCAACTATGTACCGGGGGGTATTGGGGGAAAGAAGAAGAAGGAAAAAAAAAAGATTAGCAACAGATATTAGCGCAGGTGCCAATCTTTAAGAAGAAGAGGGGCTGGCTCCGTGGCCGAGTGGTTAAGTTCGCGCACTCCGCTGCGACGGCCCAGGGTTCGGATCCTGGGCACTGACATGGCACCGCTCGTCAGGCCACGTTGAGGCGGTGTCCCACATCGCACAACTAGAAGGACCTGCAACTAAGATATACAACTATGTATAGGGGGTTTCGGGGAGATAAAGCAAAAAAAGAAGAAAATAATAATGAACTATAATCCCCATACCCAAAGGTAATGACCATTGTGAAATCTGAAGTCTATCCTTCTAGCTTTTTCTATGCCTACACACATGTCACTATACACATACACACATACACTTCTTTTGAAACCAAATGCGTGATCCTACAGTAACTAGAGTAGCATCCTTATAGCAGATACTGTTGGTTGTGTACTCAATACACACCTCCCCTTCTTCTCTGTTCACAGAACTTCAGTTTTGTCTTTAGATAGTAATAGAGTTGCCTGAATCTCAGAGAGGTTCAGCCTGTCCTGGAAGATGAATCATGGCTGGTCTGGACCACTCATGCTAATCTTATTCCCCTTCTAGATTGCATCACTGCACTGTCCAGTTCAGTTACCATTACCCACATGTGGCTCTTAACATTTAAATTAATTAAAATGAAATAAAATTTAAAATGTAGTTCCTCAGCTGCACGAGCCACATTTCAAGTGCTCAAAAGCCACGCGTGACTGTGGCTACGGTGTGGGACAGCACGGATATAGAACGTTTCCACAGCTGCAGAAAGTTTTATTGCCCAGCACCAGAGATGTACTTGTGGCCCACTGCTGACCATGAAACAGGAGTGGTGGGTTTGCTACCCCACCCCACCTGAGTAGAAAGACAGAGCCTCATTACGACAAAACCTCTGCTCTGCTTCCTCCTGACCCAGATGCTGGTGTGGGTGTGTGATGCCTGGAGCAGCCATCTTGCAACAAGGTACAAGTGCAAGGACAAGAAGACAACTTGCTGAGGCTGGTAGGTGGAGTAGGATGCAAAGAGCTAAGGGCCTCTTTCTGTTTTAAAAAATTGTGGTGGGGGCGGGCCCCATGGCCAAGTGGTTAAGTTCGCACACTCTGCTTCTGAGGCCCGGTGTTCTCCAGTTCAGATATTAGGCGCGGACCTACACACTACTCATGAAGCCATGCTGTGACAGCGTCCCACATAGAAGAACTAGAATGACTTACAACTAAGATATACAACTATGTACTGGGGCTTTGGAGAGGGGAAAAAAAAGAGAGGAAGATTGGCAACAGATGTTACTCAGGGCCAATCTTCCTCACCAAAAAACAAAACAAAACAAAATGTAATATACACATAACATAAAATTTACTATCTTAATCCTTTTTAAGTATAGAATTCAGTAGTATGAAGTACATTCATATTATTGTGCAGCCAGTCTCCAGAACTCTTCATCTTGCAAAACTGAAACTTCGTACCCATTAAACAACTCCTCCATTCCCCTCCGTCCCCAGCCCCTGACAACCACCATTCTGCTTCACGTCTCTGTGAATTTGTCTACTCTGGGTACCTCATAGAAGTGGAATCATATGGCACTTACCATTTTGTGACTGGCTTACTTCACTTAGCATAATGTCCTCAGGACTCATCCATGTTGTAGCATGTGTCAGAATTTCCTCCTTTTTTAAGGCTGAATAATATTCCGTTGTATGTCTATACCACATTTTGTTTATCCATTCATCCAGGATGGACACCTGGGTTGCTTCACCTTTTGTCCATTGTGAACATGGGTTTACAGATCTCTCATGGGTGTACAAAGCAGTGTCTTTTCGGACCCTGCTTTCAGTTCTTTTTGTGTATACCCAGAAGTGGAATTGCTGGGTCATATGTTAATCCTATTTTTAATTTTTTGAGGAACCCATACTGTTTTCCCCAGCAGCTGCACCATTTTACATTCCCACCAACAGTGCACAGGGGTTACAATTTATTCACATCCTCACCAACACTTGTTATTTTCTGTTTTTTTGTGGTTTTGATTTCCATTTCCCCAATGTTGACATTGTTGTTGCATTTCTATAGTGTTGTCAAACATCTTTTCATGTGTTTGTTGCCCATTCATATATCTTTTTTGGAGAAATCTCTATTCAGGTCCTTTGCCCGTTTTTTAATCAGAGTATTTGTTGTTGTTGTTGAGTTGTAGGAATTCTTTATATATTCTGGATATTAACGTCTTATCAGATACATGACTTGCAAATATTTTCTGTAGGGTTGCCTTTTTCATTCTATTGATTGTGTAAAAGACTGTTTCTTGATGATCACCATGCAGTTAAAAGTCTTCCTAATGGACATAGGTATCCTATTTTCCTCCTTATTATATTTTCATAAGCGTGTCCCTGGATCATTAGATGCTCTTCAAAAATATAATTTTTGATGGCAACATAATATTCCCCCCTTATTGACATATCTTGGTTTATCTATCCATCCCCCTAATGCTAGACATAATATTTCCCTGTTGTAAGTGAAGCTGGGAGGAACATGCTTGTATCTAAATCTTTAGGAGCATCTCTCATTATTTCCTCAGAGTTGATTCCTAGAGGTGGAACGGGCTGACTCAAGAGTTTCTTAGTCATCATTGTTAATTTTCCTTGCAATCTGTGCCAACTTCATCCCATCAGCAGTGCTCCTCTCTATTCTTGCCAACCTTGAGTATTAGGCATTAAAAAATCTGCTAATTTGAAAAGTGAACGATGACAATATATGTTTCTAAATACATGTTTTGTGTGCTTCTATGTGCCAGCCACTGTGCTAAACACAGAGGATACCAATAAATAAGGCAAAACCCAGTCCTGGGACTTTGATTCTAGTCCTGGTTCTGTCACCAGGCTTCTATGACCTCCTTCTGGCTTTGAGATTTTAATTATTGCTTTTTCTTCATTCTCCACCCTTTGCTGTGTCTTATAGCTAGGAAAGCATTCTCTGGGTAAATTCTCACAGCAACGCTGCAGGAGGCAAGCAGAGAAATGAGGTCCAGAAAGGTGAACTAACTTGCCCAAGGTCATACAGTCAGTTAAGTGCCTGAGGAAGAAGCAATTAGCAGCCAACTCCTGTCTGGCTTTCTTCAGAAAACATCAAAGATGTGAATTTAGAAGGTGTTAGCTTGATTCCCAGCCGTTAGAGCCTCCGTCAGGTCCCAGAGTCTCACCCATACCGAACCTGGGCATTCGGCCAAGCGAGAACCATCCAGCGTGTCTCAGGTGCTTGGCCTTGGTCCAAGCCCGGCATCTTATTTCTTTCTGAAAGGGGCTCTGGGATGCCACCTCCTCGCATTTTAATAAGTCATTCCCTTTGCAGTCCTTTTTTTTTAGTTGTAATCAACACAACATTATATTATTTTCAGGTATACAACACCATCATTCAATATTTGCACATAGTGCAAAATGATTGCAATAAGTCCAGTTAACATTCATCACCATACACAGTTAGAAAAAAATTGTTTTTCTTGTGATGAGAACTTTCAAGATCCACTCTCCTGGTTACTTTCAAATATGCAATGCAGTGTTATTAACTATAGTCACCGTGCTGTACCTGACATCCCCATGACTTACTCATTTCGTAACTGGAAATTTGTACCTTTTGACCCCCTTTGCCCATTTCACCCAGCTCAGGAAACCACCAGTCTGTTCTCTGCATCCATGAGCTTGGGGGTTTTTTGTTTTGTTGTTTTTTTGTCTGTTAGATTCTACATATAAGTGAGATCACACAGTATTTATCTTTTTCTGTCTGACTTGTTTCACTTACCTTTGTAGTCTTTTTCCATGACTCTTTTTCAGTCCTCTTCCCCAAATGGTATTAAATTTCCAAGAAGACTCAACTCTCTTAACCAGAGGACTCCTTACATTGGCAACTATCATCTCCCTGGAGGACGCCATGGCCCGGACCCGGTAAAGAAAGGAAAGAGACCCACCATTTCTAGAGCACCACTAAATGCCAGGCATCGTCCACATGGTATCTCAGTTAACCCTCACAGTGAACCTGAGCAGTAGCATGCATAGCCCCATTTTGCAGATGAGGAAACCAAGTCCCAGAGAGGTAATGTGACTTGCACTGGGTCACTCAGGTATCTGGTATGAAGAGGAGCTGGGATTGAAACCTATGGCCATTTGGACCCCACAGTCCATGCTTGTCAATTTTCATAGCCCTGAGCTGCGCTGTCTAATACAGTAGCCACTAGCCACGTGTGGCCATTTAAACTTAAATTAATTCAAGTTGAATAAATAAAATTTAGTTCCTCAGTAACACTAGCTACATACAAGTGCTCAATAGCCACATGTGGCTGGTGGTTACTGTCTTAGACATCACAGATATAGAACATTTCTACCATCGTGGAAAGATCTGTTGGATAGCACAGTTCTGGAATGTCGGAGAAGAAAGGAAATTTGGTGATTTTACCCTTGCATGGGGAGCCAGGCCATCTACCATTGGTCAGCCCTGTGGGGAGTCCATCAGAAGTTACTTTCCCTGGATGAGATCATGATTCAACCATCCGTGGGTTTCAGGGCTGTGTCTTACCTTTCTCCTGGTTTGGGGGGAGACTGTAAGCTGGCTCCACTTAGTCCCACCCACAATAGGTGCCAGCTGATCCCTTCCTTCACTTCCCTTTTGCCCCTAAACCCCTAGGAATCCATTGCCACCCTCTGTCACAGGGGATTCAGTATGTCCCTGGCCATTAAAATGGGATATCCTCATGCGATAAGTCAGATGGGGACTGAGCAAAATTTCATGACACAGTGGGCTTCATTCTAGCTGGGTGGTCACTGGGTGACATGCTTGATGCTTGAGAGAGGTGTCCTTATTGAGTGACAACAAGGGGGAAGACTGGAGGAGCTCCTTGGCAAAGGGGATGTCTGGTTATAATGGGAGATTTTTCTCCTGCCTTGCAACAGAATACCTTTCCTATGTTTGGGGAATTCTCAATTTTGTAAATGAAGGCAGTCTTCCTCCCAAGAAAGAAGCCAAAATGTCAGATGTTTGCCTTCAGAGCTTCCACTGCAGGTAGGAGATAGGCATGTGTTCAAGGCTCAACCAATCAGAGCTTGGGTTACAAAGAAACTGGGACTGTGGGGGATCCTCATGGGAGGATGGGTGAGAGTTGTGTTGAGATGGTGCCTGTGGCTGGCTGGCCATAGTGAAAGCTGGGCATCCAGTATCCTCACCAGTAGTACATGGTCCCACATGATCTGGCCTCCCTCATTCCTGGCCACTTCTAGAAACTTCCTGGTGACTTTTTAAACTTCCCATTACCCTTTTAATAAATTCCGTTTGTGCTACCATCAGTCAGAGTCAGTTCTATAACTTATGATGAACTGACACAATGGTGCTACGACAGATGGAATAGAATTAGACTAGATTGTTCTAGACTGGAGTTTGCTCTGGTGGAAGCTGAGGGAGGGTCTCTGCTGTGATCCACATGATCTCTCCACATCAGGATCCCTTGTTCCAGCCTCACTGGCCTCTTTGCCCTTGCTGTGTTCTCACCATCTCTTCCCTCCCAGAGAATCTCCGCAGTCAGGATGTTGAAAGCCTGCTCTGACTTGTCAAGGCTTCTTCCATTCCCTGAGTCTCCTCTCCAGGATTTTGGGGCTCAGAAAGTCCTTTCCCTGTTTTTCTGCTGAAACAGCTCCTCCCTGAGCAGTAAATACATCACAGTCCAAGTTGGATAGAAAAGGGGTTACAGAGTGAAAAGGAAATGGAAACATACTGGTAGTACATCAAAAAATTATCCCACCATACCAGGGTGACCAACCATCCCAGTTTGTCCAGACTGAGGGATTTCTTGGGACATGGGAATTTTGGTGCTAAAACAGGGAAAGTCCTGTGCAAACAAGGATGAGTTGGTCACCCTACACTTTGGTATGACTACTACTAATTCTCTTTCTCTACACAGCTTTATACAGCTTGCTAAGGACACAGTCAAGACCAGACCCTCAGCAACAGTGCCTTATCAGAGCTTTCTTTCCTTTCTGATAAGTGAAAAAATCTCAATGTTGTTTTTTCATTTATTTTAATACAAGTGAGCAGAAGCATCTTTTCATATGTTTAGAAGCCATGTTTTCTATTCCTTTCCTTGGAACTATCTGCTCATACCCTTTTACCTGCCTGTTTTGTTTTTGTTTTCTTAAACTATAAAGCAATAAAGATATCCAATTAAACATGACGATTGATTGTATGTATTTATTTTTTTCCCCTAGAACCTCACTTATATGACAATAAGGAATAAAAAAATGTAGCAGCCCACAATGCTAATAGGACAGGAGGGAGACAGAGATTTTGGCAAGCTTTTGCAGATAGAGACAGAGGGCAAGTAGTAACTGACTTAACAGGGAGAGGAAGTTATGACCTATGTCTGTAGAGGGCAATAGTGGTGACTGAAAGGAAGCCCAGAATCCTTCCAAAGGGGAGGCTGATGCTAAAGTCGAGGAAATCGCCCTGAGAGTAGAACAAAAAAGCAGAAAAGAGGAGAAAAACAATGAGAAAATTAGGAGCTCAGTCTACAAGGTACAGCTTCTAAAGAGAAGTTCCAGAAAGAGAGAACAGAAAGGAAAAAAATAGAGAGGAGAAAATTTTCAAAGAACTAATACAACAAAATTTCCCAGAATGGAGGGATACAAGTCTCCAGATTGAAAGGGCCCAGCTAACACAACAAGTGGGGAAAAATGCTCACTAAGGGGAATCATCATCAAATATCATAACATTGTGGATAAAGAGAATAAACTGAAAGTTTCCAAAGATTAAAAAAAAAGAACTAGTTATTTACAAAGGAACAGGACTTAGAACAGCATTAGAGCACAACCAGAGGACCTACAACTAGAATACACAACTATGTACTGGGGGGCTTTGGGAGGAGGAGGAGGAGGAGGAGAAAGAGAAGGAGGAGGAGGAGGAAGAAGAGGAAGATGAAGGAGGGGGAGGGGGAGAGGAGAAGGGGAAGAGGGGAAAGAGGGGGAAGGGGAGGAGGAGCAAGAGGAAGAGAAAGAAGAAGAAGAAGCAGAAGAGGATTGGCAACAGATGTTAGCTCAGGTGCCAATCTTTAAAAAAAAAAAAAAAGAATAGCATTAGATGTCTTAAATCTAGATACTAGAAGTCGGTGATGCAATGCCTTGAAAATTCCAAGAGACAACATATTTCAACCTAGATTTCTATACCCTGCTAAACTATTAGTCAAGTATGAGAACAGGGTAAAGAGTTATTTAGGAGCCAGGCCTGATGGCCTAGCGGTTAAATTTCAGTGTGCTTCACTTCAGTGGCCCAGGTTCAGTTCCCAGGTGCAGAACCACACTATTCATCTGTCAGTAGCCATGCTGTGGTGGCAGCTCACATAGAGGAACCAGAAGAACTTACAATTATATACAGCTATGTACTGGGGCTTTGTCAGGGGAAAAAGGAAGAAAAAAACAAGGAGGAAGATTGGCAGCAGACGTTAGCTTAGGATGACTCTTCCTCTGCCAGACAGAGAGATTTAGACAGAAAAGGGCTAAATATATTTGCTTCTGTGCACCCTGTCTCCGGAACCTACTGAAAGATGTGCTACAAAGAGAGAAGGGAATAAATCCATAAACCAGATGACATAGAACCTGGGCAACAGGGACCCCAATGCAGGAGAAGGACTTAGGAAAGTCCAAGGGTGGAGAGTTGTTAATTAGGCCTGGGGACCACTGGTCCAGAATAGAGCTGAGGTTTTCAGGAGGGAAAAAAAAAAACAAGGGGCCAGCCCTGTGGTCGAGTGGTTAAGTTCACGCACTCTGCTTTGGTGGCCCAGTGTTTCGCTGGTTTGGATCCTGGGCGCAGACCTAGCACTGCTCATCAAGCCATGCTGAGGTGGTGTCCCACATAGCAGAACTAAAAGTACCTATGACCAGAATATACAACTACGTACTAAGGGGCTTTGGGGAGAAGAAGAAGAAGAAAAAGAAAAGATTGGCAACAGACGTTAGCTCAGGGCCAATCTTTAAAAAAAACAAAAAAACTCATGGACTGTTTGTTGTGTTTAAGCATCTGGAAAAATCACTGCTAAGTATTTGCCTGATTTATTGGACACATAGAAAAAAAATAACAAAAGCTATAAGGAAAACTAATGAAAATGGAAAAAAATCAAGGCAATTACTACAGAAAATAGCAAAAGATGTGGAAGAAGTGAAACATAACACAGTGAAACACAAACACATGTTATTTGACTCAGTAGAAAACAATATTTGTAGTCATTTTAGGGTAAACATGATTTACTGACAACTATATTGAATAATGTTGGGTAGGGACATAGGGTGGGTTAACAGGGGAAGGGAAATGAACAGGGACCCAGAGAATGAATCAGAATTACATATCCTAGTTGGGACCAGCTAACTGCTGTAACAAAACCCCTCCACATCTCAATGACTGAATCCAATAAACATTTATTTTCTTGTCCAACTTGGATGATTGAGGTTGGCTGGCTTCCTGGTCAGCTGTCTCCTAAGTGGTGTCTCATTGATCCAGGTTCCTTCCATTTTGCAGCTTGGCCATCTCCAAGGGCCCGAAGTCCTTTAAAATCCCTCTCTTCAAAATAAAGAAAGTATGAACAATTGTATGGGAGGTTTTTATGGGCCAGATCTGAGAATAGCATATATCATATTCACTTGGCCAGAACTTGATCTGAACTGCAAGGAAGGCTGGCAAACATAATCTAGTTGTGCATCCAGGAGCAAGAAAAAAGGTGTTGGGGGGCAGGTAGTAATATCTGCCACATTAGGCAAAAGTAGGGTGTGGGTGGAGAAGAGCATTCATTCAACACTCAACACATATTTATTGAGCACCTACTGTGGACCAAGCATGGTTTTATGCATCAGATAAAGTGGTAATAAAGAGATCCGTTGTCATGGAAATTCTGTTGCATGGGGAACAGCAAGTATGAGTTCCTATAGGGAAATGGAACCTGGCTTCCCAGGCCAATGTGGTGGCAAAGAGGTTTAGCGATTTTGTAGGAAGTAGCAAGGGCTTTGTATTTGATTCTAAAAGCAGTGGGACTCCATTAACGGGTGTGAAGCAAAGAGTGTGACATGATCTTTTCTACCTTGTAAAATGATCCCTCTGGCCGCCTTGTGGAAAATGGATTGGCAGAGCAGGGTGGGACAGAAGAGTAGAAGCAGAGATCAGATATCTCAGGCAATCTAGGGATGAGGGAGCTGGGCCTGGCCTGGTATGGCAGCACTGAAGATGGAGGAAGGTGGACAGACAGGAGAAATATTTGAGAGGTAGACTAAGAGATACGCTGACTGATTGGATATGGGCGTGCAGGAGAGGAAGAGACAAAAGTAATTCCTAAGTTTTTGGGTTGAGTGACTGGGTGGACCCTAAATGGGAACTGTCTCAGCAGCAGTTTGAGCCTCAAGTCAGAAAATGGCCCTGGAAGCTCTTTAGGAAAGATTACGTGGGGCGACCAAGGTCGTGCGTTCCATTTTACAGCTGGGGAAACCGAGGCATGAGATACCAGCGGGTGGATTCAGGCCACGTCGCGCTCGCCTCACGCCTCTTAGGTGGGTGAAAGGACCGAGGCGTGTTGGGCACCTACTAAGCGCCAGTACCATGCCCGGCCCCGCAGCGCCTTTCAGGCTTCCCCTGTCCGCCGCCCGTGTCCCAATAAAGTTATTGAAATTGACACCGGTTGCTAAGGAAGTGGGTCGCCGAGCCGGGTTGCTAAGGAAGTGAGCGGCCGCCGTCTCTCCCCATCCGGGGCAGCGGGGAATGGCTGAGCCCCGGGTTCGCCGCCGCCCCCGCCGCCGCCGCCGCCGCCGCCCGCTTTCGGCTCGGGCCGCAGGTGAGTCGGTGAGCAGCTCGGGCACCCGCGGGGCAGGGTCGATCCCTCCCGCCGCCTGGGATCTTTCCGGAGGCCCGCGCCGCCGCCGCCGCCTGGCTTCGCTGCGCCGCGAGCGGGAGCATCCTCTGCCCTGGCTCCCGGGCATCCTCGGGCTGTCCGGACTGCCTCGACCCTCCTCCGCCGGGCGGAGATGCGGCCCGTCCCCCGACCCGGCCGCGAGGGATCGGGGTCCACCTGAGGGGTCTGGGACCGTGGTCAAGGACCCAGCTCCGGAGGGAGGCAGGGGAGCGAAAGCCTGGGGTCCGAACCTCGCCGCTGCCCCTGGCTCACTGTGTGACCTTGGGCAAGTCCCTTGCTCCCTCAGGCCTCGTTGACCTGTTTGTCCAAGGAGGGGTCCTAACACTTGCTGCTCAGAGTGGTTAAGATGATGCAGCGTGTATGGTGAAAGTGCCCTAGGTGGGGACAGAGAGAATTCTTCGGGCATCCGGCATGGGGGCCAAGAGTCTTGTTTTATGTCTGAGTGTCTGAGTTTGAGACTCTGCACCTCTATTTAGTAGTTGTGTGGCCTTGGGCAAGTTAATCTATGAGCCTTCTTTTTCAAATGGGTTAATGAACCGCTGTAGGAATCCATCGAGCTTGGCACATAGTGAGTGCTCAGCAAGCTCTTATGAGGCATGTAGGGGGGTGTGGGCAAGGCTTCCTGGAGGGGATGACTCTGAGACAGGTGGGATTTAGGTGTGTAGAGCGCCAGCTCATATGGGGGTTCCTCCCGCTGTTGATATCCCCCCGTGCCTGGTTTTACTTCTCAGTTCCCCTCAGAGCAAGGGAGGTGGTGTGGACTTCTGCAAGCAGCCCTGGTGGGGGAAACCCTTAAGTCAAGTGCTCGTAGATGGCTGAGGTTATGGTCTTATTTTCTACTTGGGCCTTGTTGACCCTTCTAGAAGAAAAAAAGGTATCTTTCTGTCTTTTGAGAAGTGCTTAAAACGTAATAGTTATTTACAAGTATATGATTAAGAAGCACTTTCCAGGTACATTATCTCATTCAGTCTTCACATGGACTGTGCCAGGTAGGTGGTGATGTTATCCCTATTTCACAGATGAGAAGACTGGCTCAGGAAAGTGACTGACTTGCCTAAGAGTCTTATTCGTAGTAAGTGATGAAACTGGCTGTGTTTCCAGGTAAATCCTGTGTTTTCTCCCCTATACCCTTATGTCTCTGATTTCTCAACAGTAGCTGTTACAAAGCCACAGGGGTATTCTTTTGTTACTTCTAACTGCTGTGACTAGAGGCTTTTCTTCCAGTGGTGAGGAAACAAGATCTCATATAAAGTTTCATTTAAATAGATACCAGCCAAAGTGTGGACCTC